GCTGCATCGTTATAGCGAGAGCAGTTTTCTGCTTTGGCTTCATCTTCTAGCGCTTTGGCTAGCTTGACGGCATAATAGCCTGGTCGAAGGGGAGGGTTCTTAGTAACGCGATTTGCCATTCTGAAGAAAACTGACTGAATGAGATAGTAGCAGTGATTGTTTGTAATAAGTATTTGCAAAAAGAGAACGTTACGATCAGAGGCTAGGTTGTGCAGTGGCTTCGCGGAACATTTAACGATCCATAGAACTATGTTTTCGTGCTATGGAGTCTTTCACGCCGGATAGCTGAAAATAATCACCGCAGGAAATGGAAAATTCGATAACGGGTGGGTGCATCTTAGCAAAAAAGGTGAACCACGGGTACAGGCGAGGTGTAACCAGGTGGGTTGATTTTCTCCAATACTATTTTAATATCCGTTTAAACATTTCAACTTGGGTTTAATATTTCAACACCACAGGAGCACTAGCGATTCTGAGAGGGCATCTACGTACAAGATAGATTATACAGAGACGCAGTTAAGTGACCTAAAAATAGCCCTATTCTCATTCTAGGAATATTATAACCTGGCCCTACGCTATGATATAGCAACCGCACATCAAGTGTGAAGTTATGAGAGACCCTGCAATTAGGAGCTGTGATCATAGGATCGTTGCAGCTTAAGGTATACATTACCAACATCCGAACGAACGAACGAACGAACGGGCTAGGTTTTTGTATAGATACTGATCGTGTACGCCTCGAGGTTCGCCGTGAATTTGCTGTGGATCACTCGAGGCGTGTATACAGTGCACGCTACATCAAGTTCCAAGACATCAAAATCAAGAAGTCATTAGCAACATCGCCACGGACTGTCGATTTTCTGATGCTACGACTGACTTTATGTGATATTGCGAGAAAATCCAGATAGCACCGACCGTAACAGACTTCCCAGCTCGATCAGGAGTGGTATCAGGCTGCTTTTGAAGTCGGGAACAAGATAGGCATACCTCGAGGTCGTTGGCGCGGCACTCCAAAGTTCACGCGAACCAGAGCCAGCGATCGATATGTAGCTGTCCCTATAGGCCGGCAGTCACCCTAGAGGAAGACAGATCAACACTGCTAGTTTATACCCGCTGCCTCTCGGGCTTTCGGATAGACTCACCCGATACGTCACGGCATCGATGCCAATCAATAGTGCTCCATCGTGTAGCTTGCCGGCTCGACTATTACCTGTCAGGATGCAATATTGGGATAAGGATACAAAAGAACTGCAGTCTCCCAACGATGAGAGAACGGCTGTCCCTGCTTCTTTTGTCAAGAAACATTGGAAACCAAGCGGGCAAGAGTGGTCCTGCGACGTAGACAGTACCGGGAGTTAGGTCATCTGAGGCGCGTGGAGGATGGCTGAAGCATAATGTCGGACAAGTTCTCCTATGAGAGCTCACTCGATGTAGCCGAACTGACGAAGCTCCGGACGTCCTGCTTCGCTCAACGAGAAGAACGGCGGAACCTAACCCAACACGAGAAGACGCAGAGACAGCTCGAGTGATAGAACGTACGGATACCACGGATAGCCTCAGAATCAAGGTCTTGATAATCGACTTATGCAATCAGTATCACCGCACCACATGCGAGCGCTCTCTACCCAAGGGCATTCCGATGTAGGAGTCGAATATATAGTATCGGAGGTAGACTGGGACATAAGATGAAATGACCAGCGATAATACCGGACCCCATACATATAATGTTAGCATAGAATGTACTAGGGCTCACATTAATGATCGTACCGCAAATCTTCTGCTAAAAGATTTCATGCCGTACCTTCCTGTCAGATCCTCATCTATTGAGCAGCGCAGAGCGAAGGCGCTTTCCACATAGTCTATCGAGAGTGGGTTTCCACCTTCTCATACAATCCAGGCGATACTCGATCAGACGGCACTCCATAGAAAGCTCGATCTTCGTTCAACGCACTCATAGCATAATATGTCGATGTATGAGACAGACCCGTAAAGAGGCACATTCGGTGTGTCTGACGAGCAAACTGATAGCGGCAGCCACAGGGAACCAGCTCGTTGGGAAGCGCTATACCAAAAGGTCAGCGGGGATTCTTGAAATGATTGATGATCACTTACCTGTTTTATCGTGGAGGAGCGCCATCTCAGCGTTTGCACAATCGCCACCATGAAGCACAACATGGTAGTCCGGGCCGCTAGAGCCGAGCGTGCGAAAGGATTCCGTCTCATTATCTTCCCAGCTGACCAGAATGCCCCCGGGGTATGGCTTCAGCTTGATGCTGTGCGGCAGGTATCGCAGTCGTCGCCCAATCTACCGCATAAAGTTCATTTCTGCGGGTCAAGCCGTCGGATGCGCCTTGAACATGGATGCAATTGATCGAACCAAGAGCTCTTCCACTACATGGCAACAAAAAAACGGGGCGTTGGTATCGGCAAGGTTGGTTGGAGACCAGGGCCGGCAAAGTGACCAGTGGTGCATACAAGCAAAATCCAACCATCGGCAATGTATCTTCAGCGTACCTTGTCCCTTGTCAAAGTAAATGTCGACTTTGCCGGTCAAGCCTCGGATGTAGACTACCTGAATGTGGTCGGTGAACTTCAGAAGAGCGAAGCAGGCTCGGAGTGCTCGGTCGACGGCTCTCGCGAATGTAGTGTCCGGAACAATGCAGGGCTTTGCTTCTTTGAACTGCTTTTGCTGCTCCTCTTCGACGGTTCGGATAGGGCAGTGGGCACGCAGCATCTGCCACAGCGTGTCCGGTAGGCGGGCCGGGCGCTTGCCAAGGCTATCACGGATGGTGTTCGTGGTCTGTCTGCATCAGCTATCCAAATGTGACACGGTGTGAACCGCAAGCACATACCTGGTCATTGCTTCTCTCGCTGTAAAAGAATTCCTTATCCGCTGACTCGCGCAGCAGGTATTGCCAGATCTGACGGGCCGTCGACGACTCTCAGAGAGGGCCTATTATCTCAGCATCGGTGGCACGGGCATGCCTCCGCAAAAGATCGACCAGTAGAGGCAAGACGGTGTCTTCCTTCTCGCGTAGCGCTTCCTCCCATATCTGTCGTACCTGGCGAGCGGCATCCCGCCAGGATGCCAGTCGGCGACGATCGCGGCAGGTAGACGAATAGGCGAAATTGTACGCGAAGAGGAATGCGCCGCCTACGGTGGAATTGGTCAAGGTGATTCCATTGTGATAGAGCTGGCCTCGTAGCTGGGGATCAAGGATCAAGTCGCCATGTGGTGTGGGGATGAGACCGGACGGGTAGGTGAGCCCGCGAATGTCCATCGTCGTCAGGCGGAGCCAATCCAAAAACACGTCTAGCGCGACGGGTCGGCCTTTTTTTTTAGGCTTGGTCCGCGTCCTGCCGATCACCACTGCCACGTCCCTCCCCACACGGTAACGTAGGTTTGCACGGCATTCCAGGTAACAGGCATTAATCTGCAGAACTATGGTTTCCTAAACGATTTTTCTCTTGAATAATGGAGTTACTGACGACTTTTACAGTAAGCATCAGTCATCAGGAGGGGAGCATGTTGGCCCCCCACAGTACAGTGTGGCCTACGCACTAATTAAAAAAGTAGTAGACGGACTCTCATTATTCTCACCATGAATGACGCGCAAGACGCGGAGTTCCGGGTGAAGCCTTAGGCCGTTCTAGAAAGCTTATGGGCCTTAGAGCATCAAGCCTACTTGGCCCCTTTAACAATTGCTCAAGTCGGCAGCTGTCCCGGAAATTTATTTCTGTTTCGTATGCGTTCTCCTTTCGGCATACCAGATGACTGGGTTCCATTTGAGGGAGAGCATAGGAGAGGATCCTTCACCCAAAGGCAGTCTTGTATACTCTTCGATTTCATAAGATCTGCCACGCCCTTGTGGATATTTTTACGAGCAAATGGAATTCGCTGGATTACAGTATACGTTCGTTGTCTCTATCACGAATAACAAGGGTACTTTTATTCTACTTCTCTTTACGCATTGAAGTAAATCATTGTACTGCAAGTTACTGTAGTCTGGAACACCTTGTATCTGCTGCCGGTTGGAGTGGCTCGGCCGCTGCTGGACGGCACTTTTAGAGTTCGTGGCAAACCTAATTGGCCTACTTCGAAGGCGTGGGTTAGCGGGTTGGAAGTGGGGTGCCGCCGACGGCAGACGGGATCAACGTTGAGCCGTTGCCAAATCAACAGTATATATCTTCAGTCAATGGATGGTACGATTATACCCGCTTATGGAAAGCTTCCCCATCATTCCTTCTTCAGCCATTGACAGCGCTATCATTTTGCAAATTCATAGGGATCTGGGAATTATATCTAGGGCCAACGTTTTTGCTGCCATTTAAGGTGATTCAAGATTTGTTGAAGTACTCGTTTCAGAGTTTGCGGCTACTCACCAGACGCCCCACTTGCAACTGTAGCGTGCATGATAATATACATGAAGGAGTCACCCCTTCGAACCATGGCTTGATAAATGCCTCACGCACTGAAAATATTCATGGTGTGTTATCCACAAACAGTCGTTGAGAGATGCAATCCGTAGGGTGGAGAAAACTGTAGATTGGGATTGGGAAGTTTTGGCGAGGAGAACGGTTCCGGATCGTTTGTTGGAGGACGAGATGGTTAAACAGTCGCCTAGTGAGAAAGTATTCAAACCGGTCGTTCCACACAGAATCCCGGCCGAGGAAAAATCATCATCCATAATAGCCATCAAATTTATGTTATTGTTACTATATGGTGAATAGGTGTTGATAAACACACCACCACGACGAATACACTTGTTGGCCGGTGATCGCTGGTACAATGAACTGGGTACTCACCTAGGCTTGCAAATAGTGAATGCACCGTACTTCCTGCATTTACAGACACATTCAATAAGCGGTTCGGCTATAAAACTGGAGAACCGCATTTTTGTCGCTTGTCATTTCCTCAGACTTCCCACTTCAGCTTGGAGTTGCAGCCCGTATCTCGCAGGAGAAGACCATCGTGCAAAAGTCCTAACACCGCAGACCTGATGCCATCAAGCAAGGTGCCCGGTAATGTGGATGGATGTGCCGAGGAGAATACTCTGCGAACCAAGCCGGTTTATCACAACCAGATTGGTGAGAGCCGGACATTTTTCTTTGGCATCTCGTCATCATACATCCAAGACTGGGATAGGGCAGCTGCGTTCAGAGAAATATATCAGAATTGGTGAGTTATATGCTGCCTCTGCAAAGGAAATGCTCAGAAACTAAGTTTATTCATAAATAGGAGAGATGCCATCTTGGCACGCTTCAGCCTAAGCCGCCTCGACTTTCAGCCCGTCTATGAAGACTGGGGCGATTGTATAGCGATTGTTGTCCCTGATCCCTCCGATCGAGATCGGCAGGATCGTGCTTTGGGATTTATCAAGTACGACAAGCACAGCGGTTGCGTGACAATCTCCAACTGCTGTGCGGACATAGGGCTGAATGTGCTTGAGCTCGGATACTCGTCGAAGCGACGCGATTCCAACGCAGCTGGCTGTCACGGAGAGGGTCTCAAATTGGCAGCGCTGGTGATGTTGCGCAGTGGTTTGAATGTGGACCTCTTTGCCAGCCGAAACCACTGGCATTTCGGCCTGTTGAAATCTCACTTTTACTGTGAAATTAAGCCGTCTGGCCAAAATGGGTCCGTTGGCCGTGATCCGGCCGAGGACATGTTTCGGCTCAGCGCTAGTGCAGATCGAGATGTTACCTTGGAGATTCGAGCCCCTCTGGAATCAAAGACAAGCACACTGTCGCGGGATGATTTTCACAGTTGGCTGGCCATGACCTTTGATATCCGAGGATTATCGCATCCTTCGGATATCCTGGAAACCGAGGCCGGGGATCTCATCCTTGATCCCAAATTCCACGGCCGCATCTACCTCAACGGAATGCGGCTCCCGTGCTCAGGGTCGGAACTCAAGCAGTATCGATTTGCGTATAATTTCCTGCATGGGAAGGTGAACCGCGACCGACAGATTTTGGTCGATCGAGATGAGGAAGCCAACATGGTGCGACGAATCTGGGAAGCCGCAATCCGGAAACATCGTGTTGCCTTCCTTCCCATCTACGTTAATCTGCTGCGCAATTTTCCTAAAGCACTGGATGTTGAATCGGCGGCTCATTTTCTGGAGCCGCCAACCAAGCATCTCATCTGGAAGTATCTGCTGGGGGAGGCTGGCGACGACAAATTTTATTACAACGAGACCTCCAGTGCCGAGGTAAGTCTCCTTTGACGTGTACGTGGCGGGCGCCCAGCTCACTGAGAACCAGAGCATCGCAACTATTCAAGAAATTCTGGAGAAACAACCCATCAAGCTTCCAGAGTCTTTGTGGACCCTGTTGCGTTCCGACTCGCCAATCCGGACGCCAGAGGAGGAACAAATCGAATATTTCAAAAATGCCGAGGTGTGTTCCATCCCAGAGACCAGCTATGCACGAACCGTTCACAGAGCGTTCATGGCTTGCGTCACAGTCCTCCTTCAAGGCAGAACCATCGAGGTACAGTATGTGCGTGCTAAACGCAGTGCAATCCAGGCGCTTTATAACTCCCATCGCCGGGTTTTGAAGGTTGCGCATCAGTGGCTGGACTTTGCCGGGTCGCACGGACCGGTTTTGTGTCGCGAAACTCTGTCCTCAAAAGTGGGTGGGCAGTCATTTTTTTGCAATCATGTCGACTTTCGCGACAATGTTCTCTTCTGCGATCATATCGTCGAAGAGTTGCTAAAGTTCTGCCTCGTTCCCCTGCTGGGTCGGTCCGCGGCTTTCAAAACCACGGAAGTGATGATCCTACGGAAAATTCGGAGGTTGCTTCGGCATATGCCCCACACAATTACCGTGTTGAGGTCGTTCCTGGCTGGGGCGTTAAAGATTACGTGGGAAGACAATGAGACGGAGTCATTCCGCAAACGCTCTATGCATGATCCGCCGTATTATGTGGTCCTCCATGAAGAGAAATGTAGTAGCGCGAGAGCAGACTTGATTCATGGGGATGCAGGTATGTGGTCTCTTTCCCCCACAAAATGTGACAACACGACTAACACTAACGAAATCCAGTGGACTGTGCTGTAGACCGTGCTCCCTGCGGGTGCCCTCAACAATTTGTGAGCCAGAAAATAAAGACCGCCGTGTTTGAAAATCTGTAGAGCTCAAAACGCTACTATGCAATGATCTCTTTGAATCGATCACAAGCAATCTATGGCTTTCCGCCCCGGCCAAAGCAACCGGTGTTGCCAAATCTTCGCGTCGTTGATGATAACAGCGGCCATGGAGTTGGACAGCCCCACGAAGAGAACTCTCATTCCTGGGCGGTTTCTCTCCAGCCTCCAGATCCAGCGATCATCGCTTTGAACACTGCACACCGGCGGGGTGGACTCAACCATCATGACCAAGAACCATCCTTGCCGGTTAAACGCCATTTATCAGATGAGCCCGAATCCAAAAAGGCTGATTGCAAAAAGTTGAAGATTTCCCAGCTTGTGGAGGGCCCGACGCTGGATTAGACCTCATTTCTGGTCCCAAGTCCCATGTATCAGTTGGCCCAAGGCGACGAGGATCATGATCTCGGCAAGGCAGAGGTAGGAAGGGGGGGGGCAGTTGAAGATTGCTTTGTTACAGGTACACTCTCCTCGGCGAATCAGTTGATAACCAGGACACCTTCTCCCACTGGTTCTTGCCCTTAGGCATTACAAATTACATACAGAAATTTGACTTTGCATATCCACCCATTTCTGCGGAATTGATTGATTAGGGAAACGAATACCCCAAATACCGGTGTAGGATCCTAGTCCATAAAGGTCCGCTCTCACGCTCACAGACCCATTAGCCCGCTAAGGCACTGCAAGCGCCTCATGGCTGTGTATAGTACTGTCATCGGGGGAGAATTCCGACGGTTGAAACGAATGAAAGACAACCAATGCAGCGAAGATGTCATCGATTTCCTTGAGCAAGCACATTCACTCCTCAAGTTCAATGGAATATCTAACCTCAGAGGTCCTTGCGAGAAATCCCTCATTCATTACGCAGCCATGGGTGACTGCCAAGAGCTTTTACTACAGCTTTTAGCACTTCGTACGCCTATTAATCTGCGTGGCGGGGATAAGCGAACGCCTCTTTCGTGGGCTGCCCAGTATGGCTCGTATGTCACTGCGAGAATCCTGGTGGAAAATGGGGCCAATGTCAACTCATTGGATAATATGTTCATGAGCCCCCTTTCACGGCTCTTGCAAAATGCGAACAGCGAAACAAAGAATTATGCAGCACTGAAGGTGTATCTCGAGAAGAATGGAGCAAGTAGAAAGGGTAAAAAGCGTGCCTGGATTGCGGAGAAGTTACGACTTCAACATTACTTTTAGATCACCGGAACCAATTCTTATCATGTACCGAAGAGAGTTTCTGTGACTATAATTTCAAAGTGACCTTGCCGCTATAGTCCCAGAAGTTTCAAGCATTCAATGACATATTGATTCATCATCAACTCACCAAAACTCCGAGGTCCAGCATTGCCAAGTGTGGTCAAGCCCAAACGATTCACGATTGAATCTCGCTAGGCGGCCCGAACACAAAATCTCCCTGTGTTTGGAGATCAGGATTTGCTGTAATTGGTTTCTGTAGCACGACAATCATCAATTTCATTATCTTTTAGGGTACCTACTCTATCGGTATTCTTGTAGATGCCATACCCTCGGTAATATGATGTCAACCTTTCCATTAGGATTATGTTCCGACATTTTTGACCTCAATTAGCGAATGCATCGGAACGTCTGGCCAGTGGCCTCAAATTAGTTGATCCACAAGGCTTTTCAGCATGATGTGGCGGAACAATGGAGATGTTATGGTTCTCCACTTTATGCAAATCCATTTGGTGGAGAGAAAGCCTCCTTGCAGATATTATACTGAAAGACTTTCCTTTTTTTGACATAGCCACTTGTGAATCAAGAGTATCCTTCCTACTCAGCCGCAGGGCTTTCTTTGCTATGACGGAAAGTCCATTCCAGGCTCATTTGTTATTCAACTTTGCCGCAATGCAGGCTCAAGCACATGCTGCAGATACCGCTAATTATTTTGCCGCTCGAGCGAATAAGGATCAGACAGGAAAAAGACCAAGTCGCCCGTCACGTCGTGGGCATACCCCAAAAGTCATCACAGGCCGCCCAAAGACCCTCTGCCTTCCTCACTTGGGCAAAATTGATGATATCACGTCGGCCCTGCTCATCAGACGCGAATCGCCATGGGATACCTATCGCCCCGTGCTTACCTATAATGGTGCAGGGCATGTTACCATCGCCACTCGCCGCTCTCGTCCTTCTCGTGTGGTCGCTATTCGCTAGTTTCCTAAAGAAGATACCCGTCGATTGATCGGACGGTTTGGACAGCTTGAACACAAGAACGTGCTCTCCTTGTTGGAATGTTACCTCGATGGTGATTCCGCCTTTGTTCTGGTTGACGATCTGGCGTTAACTCTCGGCCATATCGTTGCTTGCCCAAACTTACGCCCAGCTGAGTTTGAGCTCGGGTGTCTGATGGCACAGGTAGGCGGCCTTTCCAAGCAACTTGAAACGGGCTGACTTATAATCAGGTTCTCGCTGGTGCATCGTATCTGAGTGCATTTGGGCTGACGCAACCATTCTTGAAATGCCATGACATACTGTTTGGCCTGGACGGAGTGGTGAAGATTGGTCTGTCAGCTTCTTCTCTCCAATCTACCTTATTACTGATAGATTACAGCACGTTTGGAAGAGTGTGTGGATTGCACCACGAGCCAGGCCGAGACGACTTATATCGCCGCGGTACCATCCATCGTGATGGAGCTTATGATTCCCACTGCCCAGAATGGGATTGCAAGCGACACATCCAGTGGCTCACCCAGCGAGGCCAACATTGTTCAATTTCTCAATGCCACGAGGGGAGAGTCATCCCTGACCGTCTTGAGACAGGTAAGAAATATATGACTGCAGCGTCACTGTCAGACAATAATCGCCGCTAGCAACCACTTGTCTCCGAGAGGTACCAGACAGTAAGCGACCTTATGGGACTCGCCAGAGCGGTGATAAATATGAGCAATGTCAGCAATGGGCTACAATGCAATTGCAGGAAATGACCGAAGTCCACAAACGTACTGGTTTTGCGATCTTGTCATTCCGGGAATATTGATACAGTCTTATGCGAAGAATCGGATTGAAAGCGTCACTTTTCTGTAATCGCGCTCCTGGTGCCAAGCAGATACCCTGATAGAGACACATAAAACACATATATCTGTGATTGGCTTTCTACATCCTATTAGCGACGGCAATAGCGGGCATACTTCTCATGAGCGTTCGGCAAAGAAAGACTCACCGCAAGAACATCTCAAGTAGGCATGGTGCCACGCCTTCACATGAAACATCTCTGTGACTACAAGCCGATCCGGTCTTGACGCCTCGATTTCAGGAATTTGGGCAACGGCAGCCTCAAGATCCTTCACTGAATCAGACTCTGAGAAGAATTTTGCAATAGCTGTGAGTGAATCCTCTGTGGTCACATTTGCGGGTGTGACTGTCCTAGGTATCATGAAGGAAAGCTTGGGTAGTAGTTCGGGGTCCAAAGCTGAAAAGGCCGACCGGTAATAATTCGCAATTTGAGAATCTTGATCCAGACGCAGGATCTGCGGTTTCGTAGAGGCGACACGAATCTCTTCAACTTGAAAGGCTCTTTGAAGACCCACAATAAGGGAGTGGATCTGAGATAGAGTGACCTGGGCCGGAAAAAGTGGAGACTCGTTGACTCGCAGCACCATCGTTCTGAGAGCTACATCGTCAAGTGCCCATATCTCTTTCCGATCATATCCATTCATCTCGCAAGCTTTGATTCCCATGAATGCGTAACAGATCAATGCCACACTCGCCTTCGTGCCGAAGGGCCGGTATGGTGGCCGCGATTGTGCGCAATTGAATGAAAGAAACGTAGATGGAGGAGATGCATGCTGACTGAGGGCGAACAATAGATATTTGATTTGCAGCTCCACGTCCTCTGCTGATACGGCCGAGAGGTGACTAGACTCCGTGAGAGCTCGGCGCGCTGCAGTCAACCACGACCTCAGCCTACCATACTGCGGGACGAAGGATCGATCCCAGTCGACTTCGTCGCGGCGTATGATTTGATGCAAGGATCCTTCATCTCTAAGGAGCATTACGGCGACGAAGAGGTAGTTTAGAACAAGCAAGAGCTGATATAAAGTGCGAGTGGTTGTTGTTGGCTCAGAGCAATCCGCCTTCGGAATTTGAATCGTGTAAGACGCCGGAAGCGATACCTGTTCATGAGCAGGGTCAGTAGGCGGATGCCGACTGCTGGCCGAAATTCAACATTACCTGGAGATGGATTTGGCTAAAGAGCTTTGTTTCTTGCATAGCTTGGCTCATTCCAGGACTCTGAAATTCGTGACGAGCCATTCCCTCGTCAATACTTTCCAGTGTTAGGGCCGTGCTGGTCGTGGAATCCTCATTCTCTGCTGGAGACAAGGGCTCGGAGATTTCGACATTGCGCAAATTGGCGGATTGACTAACATGAATGCATAACGCTTCAGTGATAGTCTGTGGCGGCTCGAGACCATCCTTGGCGTGCTGAACTGCGTCGGCGAAGGATTGCTCGCGTGGCGTGGAGTTGGTGTTCGTCTGTGTATTCAGTATACCTTTTTGTCTGGTTCCAGTCCCATTGACTGGAGACGAGTTTTCATAAATGCACGATGACGGCCTCTTTCGCTTCAGGCAAGCCCCGCAGGTGGGAGACTCCCGGCTGCACGCAGTCTTTGCCGCACGGCAAGGAAGGCACGGGCGAACACGGGTTAACTTGGACGATGATTCATCGCCGCTAATCCCAATCCCCTGAAATGTCATGGATGTCATGTTGAGCACAGTTGCTGAAATCAGATCATCTGACAAGTCAAGGCGAGGGGCTTTGATGATTATGTATGCACAAAAGGCTGCTGAAGGTGATCTATCAGAGTGAGTTGACGACAGACGTTTTGCTTGAATTTATATTCCTGAACTGCAGTATGGCCTTTGAAGTGAATAAACCTCAATAAGGACAGCACGACGTATTGGTCGATTCACATTCCAAATGCATAGTACAGCGCATTTTGTCCATTCCCAGGCGTAACATGTTTTGCCTGTTGTTGGATTAATTTGATCCTCCAAAAAGCCCGCCCTGGGATCGGCTCAAGTGGTCCTGGGAACATGGGACAAGGTCGCCAAGTCCTGCAAGATCAGCACGCTTACTACTGCACTACGACACGTATATTACGTTTCACTGTGAGCAATGGAGGTACGACGGTGGCAAAGTAATCTCGACTTCCTCCTCTTATTGGCATCTCACGGGCCTTGATACCTGGTTCCTTACTTAGCCGGTCCACTTACTCTGAAAGCTCATCATTTAAAGGAGACGAGATTAACCCCTCCTATGGTTCAGATGAATCTTGCGGAAGTCCACGTAGCCGGTATGCGCTTAAAACCCAGATTTTGGAGCCTCTTCCGCGACTGAAGGTTCAAACATCAAGGATGGCGGAGCAAGTTGGTGTACAAGTGTACAAGTATTATTTCACTATTTTGTATATAGTAAACGGTATTTGAATAGATGCCCCGAACGCCAATTGCAACGATTCAAGTATGAACCTCCTATCGCTTTGCAGGATGGCTATTATCACACGCTGTGTGTCGTACATAGTAATGGCGTAGGCTAGACTCTAGGGTTAGCTTTCTTGAAATACAAAACTTCATTTCTAGAAAGACTATACACGGACTCGCAGAGGTGACATCAAATCTGCGGACGTGTGTGACCCGTAAGGTTTCTTTCATATCACCGCACTCTCAATTCTTGTGTGATTGATTGGTTTGTGCGTAGAAGTGGCGCGAATATTGGACACTTCGAGCAGCTCCGCCTGAATGACCGTTTTCATCCGAGTTGAAGTTTCCAACGTGAAGGTGAACTTTGCTTCAACAAGCAACGATTTGTCGCCCATTTGTCTCTGCATGTTCAGAAACGGATGCTGGTCAGAGTCCTGCGGGGGATTCGATTTTATGGAGAATTTGTGCAAGTCCAACAGGGCCTCTACCCAAATAAAGCCATTCGATAACTCAAAAGAGTCGGTACCGCCGTTATATGCCGAGACGATAGTATTGAAAAGTGGGCCAAATATGGTAACTGGCAGTCCAACACAGATGAAGACCCTCTCTGTCAGCTCGTTAGAGCGCAACGCCGATCTTACCGACTGTCGCTTTTCAACGTCCATTCGGTCGATGACAACGCGATCGGAAACCCAGAATTCGGTTGACCATCCGACTTGACGGTGGTGAAATGCCCTCAGCGGATCTTGCTCGCGGTGGAAAAAGTTTTGCAACTTGAGTAATTGGCGCTGAAGACCAAGCAGAATCACCCTCAAGCTGAATGACCTAGGCGCCTGAAGTATTCCGATCTTGTAGCTGTCCCAGGCCAGATTGGTAAGATGTCCTGGGACAAGATTTCAACGGCGCTGCCTTCGGCCGAGACATACTGCTGATCTGCATCCGACCAGTTGGCGGGTTGCTTGTCAGGTATCTCCACGGTTTCTAGAACAGTATCGATACTTTGACCACATAGCCTTAATTGGTCCATCGCCAGACCAACTCCTCCGTCTTCGAATAGATAAATGGAAATCGGGGGATCGATGGAGGTGGATAATCCGATTGAGCCGTACGGGTCAAGCGTTTGAAATTAGCAATTATGTTCAATATTGACTCAGGAGAGATAACTCTCTTCGATGGGTCTAAATATTTCTGCAAATTTAGAGACGGTTTAAACTTCATATCGATATATTTCGAGCTTTAGTTCCGAACAATTGGATCAATACTTGAGCAGTCGTATCGAGAGGACCCGACGAAGTGTGATTATTTATTCTTGGTAAACATAGTTCCTTTGGCTTTGAAAAATTTGAGTTTCTCATTGTGGAGATTGTGGACCAGGTATTATAGTGCGTTTATGTCAGAAGCAGTATCCTTCACTTTTCTCAACAGATGCATTGAAATTCGCCCGTTGAGTGCACTTCAGGAAATCTAACAACCATGCAACATTGGACCTCACTCCCTATCGTATGCAGCAGCAGAGCCACATTGGACTGCAAGATCTCGATCCAGTCTCACCAACAATTTGCTTTTTTACTGGTGATTCTCGTCCTGTGCATAGAACGGCTCACAGGGTTCACGTTTTCTTCCCGTTTGATCAAATGGCTAAGGGATTGAATATGAATTTTCAAAGTCTGCCCTCATGGCACTTATTACAATGCCGGGATAATGGCTGAAGTTTCTACATTTTCGGTTTGAGCTTAAGTCAACTTTTTCCTCAACTTTGGGTAGACAATTGCTTGGTGCCAGACCTCCCAGGAATGCAACATTATAAAAGAAACTGATTCTGGATTGTACGTACCCGGTATCAACAGGCCTAATTATTGTACTGCAGGGTAGGTGACTCAAGATGTCTCATCGGAGTTGATGTTTCAGGTTTACATTGTAACAGAATCAAGCAAATCGTTGTTAGACAATTGGATCACCTCTCCCATATCACCTTGAACTACTGCAGGACAGACCTTGGTTGATTATGACGACTACTACTGTATCGGCTAATGTGTGTTGCGAGAAATTTATATCCAGAAAATCAATCAAATTAGGAAAACTCATACTCTAATCAAAAGAAAACAGATCTGTGCGGCTGAGAGCACGTTAAGGTGTCCTCAGTATGGCGAGCGAGCCTGCAGGTTATACTGCTGGAGCCTGCTAACAATCATGAATCAACACGTACGACAGCGTGCATCAAATAGAAATCAACTAATTGCTCCTTCAGGACCTCCACAGCCAAGGTTTCAAACTTCCAAAATGGATAAAGCAGAAATATAAGAAGCGAACATCCAAGCTAATCTGAAGCAATTGTGGCTTCGAATATAATGAAAAGAACACATGAGGCAGGGAAACGTCAACCATCAAACACACATCCTGAGACGAAGAATAGCACTGGGTTTTCAGCAAAAGTCATGCCCGATTTCACATGCGAGGTATTGAATACACATGTGTTTGGCCTCACTTTACTGTAGTTCTGTATAGCCCTGATCCAACATATTTTTTTTGTATTCCTCCCAACCATCTTCTATATCTTTGACTCCATCTCTGTATTTTTGTGTGTCTCTCTTGATCTGTTCATCCGTTTTCCCATCGTGATCAAGGAGTGTGCGATCGAGCTTGTAAAAAGCCATCATGTCTGCCATGTATATGTGCCGATCAATCAAGCCATTTTTAGGCTTGGGAATATACTTGGGCTTTTTGGGAGTATCCGCCGAGCCCTGAGTTTCACTGTCGTGAGATCTCCGCCGTTTCTCTGTTCTATGGACCGAAGCGTCGCTATTCTCTTCGGGACCTTTTTGATCAGAGCATGGCTTGTCGTTTCTGTCCATTTTGGTCTCCCCACTAGGGACTTTCCTGGAGCGAGCAGTTTCAGGCTCGCTGCCCTTTCCTTCATGGGGCCAGAATGTCTTTGGCCGTTCTTGATCGAGCGTACCCTCAGTGCGTAAATTCTGACTGTACTCAAGATCCTGCTGGGTGGCTACACAGCGAATCTGATCTTGAAGTTGAACTCGTTCTTTCCTCTTGATTTTGTTCATGATTGCCCCTCTTGTGTTCCAGCTTGTACCGTCCATCAATTTCAATAACTTCAGGTGATCGTTACTAACACCTTCCCACACAATATGAATAACAACGACATTCCTTACCCAAGAATGCTGTTTATTTTGATTATGTAGATCACGTGGGATAGGCGACGACGACACCATAAACACACGCGGGAAGCGCTTATGTATGGGATTCTGCATAATTAAGGGCTTGGCAAATGTTATGTAGGTGTCGAAGATTGTATAAAGGAGTGGGGAACATAATATCCGAATTGGGTTTAGTTTGTCGTGCGAGCTGACATTTTTGTCGTGCGAATAACTAAATCCTTTAATTATTGCCCCGGTCACTCTCTGGAGCTTCCCGACAATATTTCTATGAGGCGTTGAATCACATCACCCCTCCACCGAGAATGGCATACGAGGTTTACTGCGCACCTACGTTTACTGGAGCTACGCGTTTATTCATACAATTACTGCGATATTTAAGACAAACGTATATAGAAATATGAGATCAAAAGTTGTCTAATATATAAACCAACCAGGTGATTGCCGGCGCTTCCTTACATCATGCAACATTATCCCTCCAATTCAGAGATGGCAGCCCGTTCTAAGCTGTATCAAACATACTCCGCAGAGCTTCCACAATACAAAAAACATGGTACGTCTTTTTGTCCAGTCTGGCAGTAGTGGACTGGGTTTAAGAAAATGCAGACTGGCAGAGTGCTGAACGCTTCTGGGATATGAGAGACTCTTGGTCATTCTTCCGAAAACTTCGAGAAGCATTTCGTATCGATCGAGCCTTTCTGAAATCACGTCATTTGGTCACATCCCCCCAGGATCTGCAGTACCGAAAGTACATCCTATCTCAAGCGATGATTAATGTCAACGCATTCCGTCGACAAATGAAGAGAGGCGAATCCAGTTTCGAAGCGATCAGCAAAAGAAGAGCTAGTATTTATGGAGCCTATGCTCAAGCCATGAATGAGATTGAAACCTGGACGGGTAAGTTGACATAGATTCAAAACTGGGCAGGACATTGATATGTACTGCAATAGATTATCGATTCCCTACCACTGCTTTCATTGGCGAATGATCAATATGGGGAGGTTATAATTGTTGAGATGGAAAATTGTCCAAGTAGATCAGAAAACTAGGGAGATTCTGGCGATGTCGATACATGCCTTAGAAACAGAAAACTAGCATATAATTTAAACCTACTTCAACACCTGATGCTATGGACTTGTTGAGCCCTTGTTGCCAGCTGATGGTATTCAGCGCTAACGGGGCATAATAAGAGGTCCTGATCCATCTGTGACATGCACAATCAAACGTTCAGAAAAGCATTACTAGCTGCAATATACACCTTTCCCCTCTACGTTGAAGCGGCAAGTTATGCTTTTTATTGACATCAGCGGAACAAATCTCTATGGCTGTTATTATTGTCGAGAAGAATTACCATGAATTTGACATCAATGACAGAAAAAAGGCGACTGATAACTCCTCAACGTAGTCCCAGGGATGGATCTAAGTGTGGACAGCGGTATTGTAGTGGGGCAAGGATCACAGTCATCACAATTGTCAACTCGGTCCTTGAATGCGAGTCGATCTGATTCTAACAAGCCATTCTATTCATATTTATACTGGGATTTGAGTGGAAACGAAGGGGATGGACGGTGAGAGTGGAGAGCCGCATTTATCTACTCCAGAAGCATCGATGTTGACGGTAGCAAAACAAGCGGTTGTATACAGCGAAGGCGACGAGAAACGGCATACATATCAGACCAGGAATAAGGAAACTCATCAGCCTGTATCGCATTCGTTCCTCAAATATATTTCTAGGGTCTAGGAAAAACCAAAACCTTGATGACCGCAAAAAGATTTGTCCAGTTCGGTGGATTCCGAATAGTTAAGTGAAACTATAAATGCAAGTACAAGAGACCTGGCGACTCTCGCAAGATAGAATACTTTCTCCTACCAGACAGGTATTATATCTCCTAGGGTGAATCAGACATGCACCTTTTACTAGCACTTTTTACCTCCATCTCGGTGGTTCTTGCCGGCACACTTCAGATAATGGACCACGAGGGGCAATGCTTCGTGTATTCTACGGGAAACTTCGATTGTACTGGGATTTCGGAGCCATTTGCCCCTCTGAATGGCACTTCTTGCTCCGGTAAGACGACGATTGTTGATGAAGAGCTAGTACTAACGACTCCCAGATCTGATTACAGCGCGGAACGACACCGAATCTGTGTCTGATACGGTGAAAGTGAATCTATGTATTTCTAGCGGACATTTCGCCTGGGTGGAGGTGTATCGAAGTGGTCTGCTCTACTTCCATAATGACCAAGGAGATGCAGCGAGCTGCAGTATCGACAAAGCTTTACAAAAGGGTAGCTTATGCACTGCTGGCAGCGGTTCATGGACTGCGATGCCAAGCAAAAGTCCCCAGCCGACTTCATCCGAGGTTATGTCCTCCCAGGTCTCAGTTGCGCCAACAGACTGGCTGTCCTTGTTTGGATTAGTGCGGCGGCTGTCCTTGTTTGAATTAGTGCGGCGGCTGTCCTTGTTTGGATTAGTGCGGCGTCTGTCCTTGTTTGGATTAGTGCGGCGGCTGTCCTTGTTTGAATTAGTGCGGCGGCTGTCCTTGTTTGGATTAGTGCGGCGGCTGTCATTGTTTGAATTAGTGGCACTCGTGAGGCCCTCACGTCCACACACTCAGCATCTCCAACTTCGACTCGTGAGCGACAATTCAGCCGTACAATTACATAGACGCTCAGCTGGCCAAGCCATTTTGCCAGCAAAGGAGCACCAGACAACATCATGTTTGCAAACTTTTAGCTGTGGTCAGGTGGCATGCTCGAGCACCCGGCCAAGTCCCGCCGACCGCGGGTCCAACTGGGCCTGTCTCACATGTAACTGTGGTAAACCCAGCGTCTTGGCCGCAGTCTCCTAACCCCACCAGGTCGCCGCACCAAGAAGAAGTGTGATGAGCAGCAGCCAGCTTGCGGGTATCACATGCGTCAAGGCCGGTGCGTGCGCTTGGTCACGACCCGCATTATCGTCCTCCCTCCATGGTAATCCAGAGGCGTGCATCCTGCCCATCGTGGAAACTGGATCTACACCATGCGCCCCGAGGCCCGTGATACCCGCCACACCATCGGCTTGTTATGCGAACAGCCTCACCTTGATGCATTGGCCCCTTGTTTAAACCAGCTCAGCGCCACTGTGGTCCTCGGACCGCCAGACATGCCCTGGCTCCGACCAGCTCCGCGTGGGAATTGTTCCAGCATGCCAACCGCGCCATTCACGGCCATTACGTCGACGATTTCGACGACCACTTCACCCTTCTCGTGCCTAGTCTTCGCATTATTGCCGAGTTTCGGCCATATACGAACCTATGCCTGGCACTGGGTGGCAACAGTGCCATCAGATCGCCCAGCAGGAGTCTGCGACGAACAGTCGATGACGAGACACGGCGATGCAATTCCACCCGGAGGCAGTCCGCGGACTGTAGGAGTACCTGCGATCATATCCTGTATCCCAAGGATGGGCACTTTGCGCTATGCTTCGATTGCGTATATTCGAGAAATTTGGCAACGATCACTAGGCTCCGTCAGATGCACATACCGAGTCAGCCTATAGCGTCTTCATCACAAGCTTCGCAACCTTCCCTTTCCAATATACGTCTATATTGCAGCTTGAGGGCTGGGTATATCGCATTGCCATGACCAGCACCTTCCGAGAACGGGCTAGGGGCCCCGAGGAATATCGTGGTGGCCTGGACAAGCTGGTCGGCATCTGGGCGGCATGCAGAATTTCCTGCGGCTCGTAGCAACACTTTTTGTGGGCTTGCCACCTCTGGCTTTTAATATCGCTGATAGACTATCAGTCCTCCTTTGACGATGAGTGCCTCTCGAAGTTGTGTTTTCAGACCGTTCTGGAATTGTGCTACGGCTGTAATATCGGCTATGCCAAGCTGGGTCAATAGTTGTTTAAATTCTAAAGCGTACAACTCTACAGATGCTTTTTGGTGGCAGTTGGTGTATTTGCGCGATGCTTGGCTCAACTTCGCCGTTTCAGTGAGACCAAATGAGGCTCGGACTCTATCTACAAATTCGTTGTAGTAACGCAGAAGGTCAGAGTTGTCGCATAGTTGTTGTGTCAGCCATTGGAGGGCTGCGCCACGAAATGTTGAAGCTAGGCTGGCTGGTTTCTCCTCGTTCGTTGTGTTTTGGTCAACAAGGTTCTTGACGTGACTATACGTAACCACGTCGTCAAGCTGGTTTGGTTTTGCCGTAGAACAATACGGGCTCGTATATCGTCGTTTCCTCTGACGAACGATGCTTCGACTGTTGTAGTCGGTATTCCTGTAAAGTTGGGCTCGGTAAGTGTCGTTCCTATTTTCCCAATGAATGGTTCCGTAAAGGAAGTGCTCGTCCGCTGACCTGCTTCGTGCTTCGGCTCTTCGGTGGTTCGGCGATCAAGCGAGATTCCTCAGGCGATGCGTACGATCCTGATGATGCTTCTGATATTGGCGGTGACGATACTACAATGGCGTTGCGTTTTCTGCGAGATTCTGCTTTCTTGTCGTAGTATTCTCGGTGTGACATGTCACTCTCTTGCAGATGTTCAAAGATAGGATATAGGTCCTGTCATTGCTTGACCGTAAGGGTCATCACTACTCGGGCCTCCCCCCACCTTCCCGTTTATACAATAATTCTAGACTAGATGGTGCCATGCCCAATGCGGATAGTCTTTCGGTGTTGTCTTACCGATGATGTGTTCGTGGCTGCTGGGGCACCACGGGACCAACTTGTGTGTTCCTTGCAAGGTCAAAAATAGGGTATTAGTCCTGTCGTTGCTTGCCCCTTATGGTCAGCAATTGAGGCCCGAACATCCACGCTTCTATTGGCTCCCGTGAATCAAACTGCTTTTATGCCATGGCAAGATATCGGGCCGCAGTCCACTCTCTGCATCGTCGGCCCCAGATAATCATCGGCACCGTGAGCAAGCTAACGGCAATGCAGAGACAGCCAGAAAGCGTAATCGTGTTATACAGGCCCATCCTCGCAATCCAGGGGCTCAAACACATGGCAGTGAGAGTGCCAAAGCCGTTGCGGACAAACATGACAGCGATTGTTGCATCACCAATTACCTACAGGACGTCCGCGGTCATTAGTTTGTCCCTGGCAGCAGGTAATGACGATAAAAATCTTTTACTTACATCTCTGTACGAGTCCATGAGATATACAACAACAACATTGCTCAGGGCTACGCTTCCAAAGCCAAAGATTCCCAAGCCAACTGCGGGGATATACCATGGCGTGCCCTATATAATCTGTCAGCGGCCACATCTCGCTAGCCAAGAAGATTCGTGTAGCTTGCCTGTGAAACAGAGAACCCAAACATGAAGTACCCGGCAGGTGTAATTAGAATAGCAGGCAGAGCAAGCCATAGACGCATCTCGGGCTCGTAAACTCCACCGTTTCGTCTCGCGAGCCATTGAATATTGTAATCGGACAACTGCCCACCGAAGAAACCGCCTAGAATGGAGCCGATGCAGGTGGGAATGTTGAGGAGCCCCACACCTGAAGAGGAAAAGTTGTACGGAGGCAAAGTGAAGTATATCGCTTGCACATTTAGCAGGATGGCAAGCCAGGCAAGCAGTGACCCGTACACCAGGGCGACAAAAGCAACTCCGGGAAAGGTAAAAAGAATGATAAAGGGCCGATAGATATGTATGAAGAGTGCATTACTCCCACCACTAGCAGTGGTGAAGAGCGACATCCGTTGCCAATAAGATTTGAGTGGAATGTCGGCCAGCGTGTTGCTTTGTTCCAGATGTAACGTGTCTGCGCCAGGGGTTTTGCTTTTGCGGTCTTGCTCAATGCCATCAATGTCGTCCGGAATGTCACCTCGAACCATGGGTGTATATACGGTCTCCTCGTAGCAAAAAGCAAACAAGAACAGTGTCACTCCAGCTAGAATAGAGCTCCACCACCATATCCTAGATACCAATACAACGTGTCAGCTTCGACATGTACACAAGATGAGGAGAATGACATGGGGGGAGGGGAGGCAGGATGGAATGATCTCGCGTTTGCTTACCAGCGCCAGCCTTGTGAAGCGGCAGAGTAACCAGCTGCAACAGGCGCCAGGTAAGTACCAGCGATTATCATGATGGTGAGAATGTTTGTCCGCGAGCCGCGCTGGTGCACAAAGAACAAGTCGGCTATCGTCATAGCGCAAATTGTCTCAGTGATTGAGCCTGCCAACCCAGAGACTATGTTGAACCCGAACAAGTCGCCAACGGTCCGCATACGCGCCTGCCAGATGGTCGTCCCTACCATGATGACGATGCTGAGGAGATAAACGGGACGCCGACCGAATTTGAATGCAAAGGGGATGAACATGATAGCGCCAATTGCTAAGCCAGCAGTGGAGACGGCAAAGGATTGATTGAGTTCTTCCCACGAAAAGCCAAGCTCTTCGTGGAGTTGGCCATAGACAACCGTGCCAATATCGATGATGGTATAGACAATCAAAGCATAGAAGCAAACAAGGGCGAAATTGATATTTTTTCGCAAGCGCGACCAGTTCAGTGGTTCATTCGGGTCATCGGTCGGGACCGGCTGTAAAATGACACGCCCGTGTTGTCGCTGGCCAGTGACTGTTCCACTGTAAACAATGGACAGGACGGTTTAGGAGGATGTCTTGCTTACGGTCTTCTAGCTGCACGGTGCCTGGCGGGAACGGCCTCGTGTCGGATCTCTCTATATTGAGGCTGAGGGGCATGGCGACGTGCTGCTAGGTAAATAATGAGAACAATGTAGTTGGGTTTGGCAACAGGACGAAAGCATATCCTTATGAGACTCCCGTCCAAAAGCGTGTAGATACGTGGTGGTATTTATATTAGTGCGCGAGAAGACTCGTCTCTACACCAGGCTCTTGGACTCCACTTCCCTTACTTTTGGTTCCAACCATTTCTCGGAACTCCCCGGACTTCTGATGTTTTAGCGTGGCGGCAGGCTTATTCAGTCCTAGCGTAGGACGCACTGCGGATGTTGCGCGTTGTGGGGAAAGTGGGTATATGCGGGGACAAAGCAAGGACCCTACTCTGCGAGCCATGCCTAACATTCCCAGTTCAAAGGAAGACATCGGAGAGGGTCTTCGTCGAAGAGGACATCGGCGACGCTCATTTCCCGCCCACCCTTCTGCCATGCACGTCCAACAGCCGTTCAACCAGCGCAGAGGCCCGTGATCCAGCTAGGGGCTCCAGACGGCGGACGTACGCCGCCATTATGGGTTGATCTTCCACGGCCGATGCGGCGAGGCCGATGATGATTGCCAGATGAGCACAGTTGGTACGAACTCGGCTTTCATGACATGATCCAGCAACAGCTATCGGCAGCGGCAGCGCATGATAGTGTTCATACTCTCGCAGGCTAGCCTCTAGCCGGTCGAGCTCGGTACCCTACTTCGCGCCGAGGGTGATGCATCGAGATCATTGCTTAGTAAGAGAAACTATATTCTTGAGACGTCTGATGGATTGGTGAACCGGACAATGTTTTGCGGGCACCAATAGGCGATCAGAACAAGTTTCTGGTTAGAGATCGCAAATGCGTTCCTCATTCGTGGGGAAGCCTTGGTGCAGCGTGAGCGACAAATTCCGTTGGCAGTGTCTGACCGAGAGTGCCTGCTACCGCCAAGACGCTCGGTAGCGTGGAGAATTGTGGCGAAGTGTGGTCCAGCGGTGCTCTTTGGAACGCATCAGCCTGAGGAGACTCTCTGCCCCTGCATACAAATACTTCTTTGCATTTGGCCGTATTGCATACAGGCCCTCAAATACTCAGGCAGACTACAGTATGGGAAGAAGGCTTGGGTGGGGTTGTTGTTGTTTACTGTAAGATAGCCCACCGCAGTGTGCGGCTAATTTGGATGCTATTACTTCCGCTGCGGTGGAACCACGGGGGGGGAGCACTCTCTTTCTAGAATCTACTGCATAGGCCATACGTACATACAGTAGATTTCGGGTCTCAAAGTTTATTAAACTGCCTTATCACCCAAGTTTGTGCTCCTTTCAGCTGCCTGGTTTTCTTGCGTTCCTTCCCTAGGCGGCGCGAGTGAAGCTGGGCAACGTGGCCCTCCCGCTCCTTTATACGCTCTGTTTGTTTTAACAATAATCTGACGCATTATCATATTTGCCTCTGTCGACTCTTTTATACCGAGAAGAATGTCATTTTACTCGGTCTCAATTATCTTCTCTGGTCCAGGCACGTACGAGTTCCGAGCAAACCTCCATCCGTGACTGACACATATAAAGATACCCAATAATCAAATACCACTCTTTTGAGCACGATCAAAAGAGCATGATGTAAATCAGTTCTTTCTGCTATTGCGTTCAATGGGTGTAAGTGCACAACATGACATTCGGCGTTCCCTTACTGATAGGCTGCAGATGGGGGGTTATTAAATCGTGAAGCGACAGAAGTAGAAGCTGGGTGGGAGGTGTGGACGCGCAGAATACACGCTTTCTAGAAAATAGTGAGTGGCGCACGGATAAAAATAGAATAAAAATAGAATTTAAATTAGTCTCTCCGTATCAAAGTGGCAGGCGACCACCTACTTAGTTCATTAGAGATTAGAGATCTGCTGACCATCCTAGCTCATTCCAAGAAACCGTGATGTGGCCCACGGCAAAAGGGCCAGGAGGCGGTGAAAAACAGGAGGTAGGTACTGCCGCGAGGTAGGGATTAACAGGAGGCAGGTACTGGCGCATGGTATCTATGCATTTACAGAAACCGTGATATGGCCCACGGTAAAGAGCGCCAGGAGGCGGATACTGGCGCCTGGTAATCGTGCTTTTCCAAAAACCGTGATGTGGCCCACGGCAAAAATAGCCAGGAGGCGGTGAATAACAGGAGGCAGGCACTGGCGCATGGTAACCATGCACTAGAGAAACCGTGATATGGCCCCACGGTAAAGAGCGCCAGGAGGCGGATACTGGCGCCTGGTAATCGTGCTTTTACAGAAACCGTGATGGCCCACGGTGACTCGAGTGCCTTCCTCCGCCTGGCCTCGTTTCGGCTCGGTATTCCTCATTGCAGTTGAGATGGGGCGTTTTTGCCCTTGATCCGCAACCTCACACGTCAATCGGTTAGTCGATCGTCGAACCTCGGCGCCTCCAGGTGCTTTCACACTTCGCTTCTGGACCATCGCGGCTGTACAGGGGCTTTGAATCTGCCCCATGGGTGCAAGGCTCCGGCAAGGGCGTTGGCAGCCTTGGATGATGATGTTCGGACCATTTCAAGACCGAGGATGACCGAGATATTGCTTCGATTATAAGTGACGCTGTTACAGGAAGTGGCTCCTATGATGCGTGATCAACGGAACGCAACCTGTCGCATGAGGAAGGCATCTCTGCTGAACTCAGACGATCTGAACGATTGACAAAAAGAGCTAGCTTGACGACGATGTTCAAAATCCAGAGAGGCAGACTTGCTTGCAGTAGCTTACAGAGGAGGGAAAAGCGTGGTCGGCCCTACGATCTGGCCGATCCAGAGAAGCAGCTATTCTTGTGTAGCTTACAGAGGGGGAAAAGTGTGGTCGGCCCTGCGATCTGGCCGATCCAGAGAAGCAGCTTTCCTTGTGATGGATTGGCAAGAGGCCCTTCCCACGAAGCGTTCTCTCAAATATTTTCTCACGGCACGCCACGGTTTCCCTCTTACTTTACTAAAGTAGCTTCTAGCGACGTTATACAGTACAAAACTCGGCCTAATACGGCTGTTGTCAAGGTACGTTCTAGCATTGCAATATGAGATCAAAAGCACGCCCGCAATCTCTTCTTCCAAGACATTTATGGAATATAACGGGGAAAATGAAGACTAATGACATATATGTGGATAGGCTAACCCGCAGTATTTGCGTTTTGAAATCCTCATCACGCGGTAGTGACAGTCGTGCCTTCCTTTGTCTCCAGGTCTCGATCTGTAATCAACCTTGGCGTTGGGTAGTGGGAGCCCTAACAAGTCAGCTTTCGTTCCCTAGCGGAATACTCTGCCACATACTAATTGTGAAGTAAGAAAAGCCCAAAATCCGGAAGCATCTGCGGACAAAAGATGTACCTGACCCGTCTCCCGGATACGAATGCCCAAGCATACATCCGCGTCACACATCTTACTATATTCGCATGCCTTTTTCATCAAACTTGTTTTGCGACGGCATTGTTTTTGGCGCATCAATTTTCTCTTTGAGGAGGAGTAATTAGATCGGGTTGGATTTATAGCAGCCATTGCGAGTGGTCACCTTGTTCTTTGGGGGAGCGATGAAGGTGAAAAGCATCGGAAACGCAAGGTCTTATAGGGATACTCTGTTAACAGGAAAGAGCGAAAGAGCGCAAAGGGCAGTTTTCAATTTTTGAACATACAAAAGACCACGATTTTCCCCTAAGGAAAACCATGGTCTCTTGCGTGTTAGGCAATACCTGGGCGCTTAGTTACGGCCCCTCCACGTGATTTTAATACTATTCAGCTATCCCGCCGAAAGTACGTGGGAGGAGAAAGCAACGCGGGAAAACGGCTTCTGTGCTTGAACTCGAGTCATTGAACTAGACCTGCAACGCGAAATACTCAACTTCAACACCTCAAATTCACACAAATTGGACCGAAAGCAAACGCTGACTTCAACGATGGGAGACGACTATTGCGGCCTACCGGCTCCGGCCCCTAAGCCTGATGTTGCGACACTGGCGGCTCCAAGTGAGAAGTCGAGCAGTGGCCAGGATTCTTGCTGCGATAGCGACGACGCTGAGCACACCTCGGGCCTGGGTCAGAAAAAGGCCACCCCGGAAAAACCGGATGCTTGCTGCTCTCCTGGCAAATGTGCGGACAACAAAACCGAGAATCATACCGACGCGCCTGACTGCTGCCGTGGTAAAGTCAGCCCATGCTGCGACACGTCTTGCCTTGACAGCTTGGCTCTGCGGGAATGTTCGGTAGAGTTTCGCAAGCATTGGGTGTGTTATGGACATGGTGAGTGTGAATAAGGCCACGTTTTCGCTGGCGTGCGCCGCTGGTATGGAAATTACATCGGATTATAGAAAAGTTAGAATTAGCCTGCGTATCAATCAAGAATATGGAAAGTGCTCTGGTCTATCGAATTGAGAAAAAACAGCTGATAAAAAATGGCCGATGACAAAGGAGACGGGCAAAAAAACTGTAAGGCTCGAGACTTCTCGGTACCGCCTAAAATTTGCATAAATTATGCGCTGACAGCACTTTTGTAGACACATCCCTCGAATTACACTTCCTCATGGTTGAAGGTGTTAGGATCTCCGGACTTGGTGGAGACCGAAAGGATTCGCCTGCGCATTGCAGCCAAGAAGGCGACCATGCTCACAAGCCACCAGGCAAACAGAATCGGCAGTGACCGATAAAGGGTCGGATTGCAGCCATGTGTCCAAATATCGAGGAGGACTTGGTAGAGCTCATAGGCAGGAACAGCATATCCGATGCGGTAAAATCCAGGGGACAGCTCAAAAGGACTGAGAGTGCTTGAGACGTTCATGATAATCCAAGTGAGGATAAAAAATGGCATGAATTTAGCCGGAATTGCCGCTGTGGCTGAATCAATGATAAAGAAATTCAGGTGCATGACCAGCCAGATGATCATCCATGTTAGCCCGAACTGACTGGATGTTGTACCCCAATCTTCTCGAAACGCCCAGATATAGCCACTCATGCATAGTGAAGCGATGAACGTGAAGCAAACAGACAAGCCGAGGCGAAGAGAGATATTTTTCCTCAGGGAGAAGGTTTGAAAGATTTTAGTTTCGGCTGAAATACCGTTCAGAGCCATGGTAAAGAAGAATTGTGGCAGAATAACCATCACCATAGTGACGGTATTGTAGTAGAAACGAACACCCTGGGCCGTCGGCTTGATATCGTTATACGTGGCAGAGACTGGGTCAAGCAAGATCTGGGCGATGTTTTTATCGGTCATGTTGAGCTTAGACATCGCTGCTGTTCCGTTGACTGCATTGTAGCCAGCTCTAGCTCCTTGCACCAAGATCTGTAGGCTCGAAGAAATCGTTTGGGCGTAGGCGGGATATTTCGCACCGTTAAAAATATAACTCAATGCCTGGGAGTTTTCGTAGGTTTCCGCGGTTTCAGGGGAAGCGAGCGCGGCGGACAATCGCGAAGAAGCATCTGGGTTGACGTAAATCGCCCCCCAATAGTGACCTTTGCAGACGGATTCCTGGATGTCACTTGCGCTCGGATAGTCGATCGATGGAGATTCAGTCAGCGTCGGAAAATCAGCGCTTTCTAGTTCCGAATACGCTGCCTTAACTGATTGGCCAATGATGCCGTGGTCGTAGTCGACGAAGAGGAGTTTCAAGGCTTTAATGCGCTGCGAGTCGTTGAAGGCAGTGCCGTATAAGTAACCCATGTTTGCGAGGAACAAGAGCTGAATGAGGACGAACGATCCTCCCACACCACCTAAAAACTCCTTGGGAAGTTGCATTGTTGAAGCTGCACAAAAATGATGCTTCGGCGTTGAACTTAGGTGGTAGGTTTCTCTTGGACTATTGGTATGGTAAAATGATTTATCTAAACCAGAAAGCATACAAGGGCAAGCCTCGGAATAAAGCCAGTCCCGGACCGAATTCGGGGGTTTCGATTTCAGAATGCCGTGCAGGCCGGGTAAGGTGTGATACGGATAATGTAAGATCTACGAGCATGGATCTTCCGGCCAGATCCACAATATCCGCTTACGCAGCGGAACAAAATTGAGCCCGAGCCTTGGAGCCATATTACGGATTGGAAATATGACGAACTGAGCATGCGGTAAACTACCACTGTGGATCCCAGAAATGGCTCAATGATCGTCCACACATTAAGACTATACAATAGAAGGAATCCCCATTTCGCACGTGAAAGTCCTCAGGTGTTTTCTGCTCCTGGAACCAGACTGCCAAGATTAGGCCAAAATTGCAATGGTTGGTTGTGTTCCTACTGGTTCAGCTGCCGGTTCCTGTTCCTCGTAACTTTAAGCATGTCATTACCCATGCTGCGTAGCTGCTCAGGCCGTAGCTACACGTAATACCTGATAATTGCTTATTTGCCTCTTCGTTGTCCATACTTAGCTTTCTCGCTGAACGTCGTGGACGTCATGACTGATTCGGGACCACGATCATCAAATGCCACGGTTCTGGTCTCACACGTGGAGTGCTTGACCATGGCTTCTTAAGGTGACCATGGTCCTCCCCACCCTGCTTCCAACTGCTCTGTGCATTTTCCTAGATCTGGGATTCTGTTTACATGTTAATCTCTCGGGACCCGCCTCCTACCCGTCTGCAGACGCCTTCTTCCCTTCCTGGGGGCGACCCTGGCTATCCGCACGGTATAAGACGTGCCACGACTGCCGTGGGAGGGCTGGTCGCAGGAGACAGCAGAGGTCCCGTCCATGTGCTCTTTCCGATGACCAGCCATTCGATTCTTTTCAGCACCCTTCTTTGCCTTCCGCCACTGCAGATATCTCTGTCCAGCGCGTATTCTGCCCTGGCTGTGCCCGACCTTGGCAATCTGCGGAGTATAGGACGTGTGTGATTTCTGCAGCGAAAAGAATCGTCGCAATGATCGAAATCGGATGAATCGTCTGCTTACGGGGCAGTCCGTGCCTTGGTGGGAACGCCTGAGCCACATCTCTGTCGTACCATTCCGCCAAGACTGGGCCGAGCGATGCTCCTTCTGAGCCATTGCGCTGCTCTCGGTGCACCGGGAAGGAAAGAACCTGCCCAGGATGCGCCGTCCAACCGCACTCGGCTTCTCCGCCATGAGCGACCTGCTATGGTATTTCCAGCGTTCAACTACATCACACTTCTGCCAGCTGAAGTACACCGAATTCTTTAGCCTCTACTACCTGGAGACCCGGCCACTTGATGATCCCCTTGACCAAGATCTGGTCCCCATTACCACTGTGGACACTTAGCGAGGTCTCCAGCAAATGGTGTTACGGCGTCGCAGCCAAGGCGCAATCGTAACGCGACTTCAGACTGTCCCGGTGCGCTCGAAGGGAGCTCTTTTACCTCCGGGCACTGCTGCAGGTACGGCCTGCTTCCAGTTTTCAGGACCTTCGCATGGTGCACGGCCACTGCTACCGGACATACCAGGAAGCAGCCACCGCTCTGGGGCTAGAATACCCGTGAGGCCGTGTATGCGGTGAATGACGCAATTAGTGCTTACAGCCGTCCATCTCAGCTGCGCTTCCTCTTCGCCTATCTTCTGCTGGACTTGCCTTTTCCAGCAGTGGACCTGTGGACACAGTTCCGGCGGGAGCTTTGTGCGGACTATCGACTGCGTCACCATCCCACCAGTCGACAAACCTGGCCCTGGAGGATATTGCACACTACCTGTCTTCGCAGGGTTCCTCTCTGGCCCAGTGCGGCTTGCCAGTGCCACAACACCATGACCCTGAGGTGGACTTGGAGCTGAACTTCTTCTGTAATCGGCTACCTACTCTGCATAGAAGGAGCGAGGCAGCGTATGCGAGGATGAATGCTGATCAGCGAAACATTTTCGACCGCATTCTTAGACACTGCGGTTGTGGTGGATGCTTCTTTATCGATGGGCACGCAGGCCGCAGCAAGACCTTCCTAGTAAGTACCATCTGCGATCGCATACGTGCGGAGGGAGAAATTGTGTGTGTGACTGGCACCATCGCACTGAGTGTCATCCACTATGAACATGGTCGCACTGCTCACTCGGCTTTCGGAATCCCGGTTCAGGAGACCGATATGGCCTACAGTCCAAGATCGGCGTCCATTCAGACCGCGCCGAGCTGCTGCAGCAGGCCGCCATTATCGTCTGGGAAGAACGGCCCATGGCAAAGAAGGCTGTTCCGGTGTGTGCCAACCAGTTGTTGCAGGATGTCATGGAGAAGGATCTACCATTTGGAGACAAACTCTTCATTGGCTTGGGAGATTTCCGTCAGGTGGCACCGGTCATCCGTGGCAACTCTGGTCCAACTGCCACGCTCAACAGTTCCATCAGCACTTCGGATCTCTGGTGCCATTTCCAGATCCTATCCCAATCAGGAATGCAGGAGATCCCGTATATGCAAGGTGGGTGGACCAGGTCGGAGATGGTAGGACTCCTTACGAAGTCAGGGTGTCACTATTGAAGTTCGAAAATGAATAAACTGGTTGCTATTCTACTTGAGGAATTAGATTTTACAATAGGTTGGGGCCAAACTGAAAACTTGCCCTTGTAACGTGGATAGGATCTGGAATATTGGATGTTCCGGTTCTCTACTGCCCAGTCAATTTCAAATGGCGAACAGCTTTTTGTTATTCTAATCAACATTGTCCGAGGCACCCCACAGGTTATGAAAATGAAGCTCAAGCTACTACCATTCGCCTCGGGCATTATCATGTCGTGCAGACCGAGTTTCATATCATTCCTATCCTTGATTGTCTAGTGGTGGGAGAAAGGCTGAGTCATATCCGAATATCATCATCCGAGCTACCAACGCGCTTTCCAGGGCCTTCCGGCCCTGGAGAAGATTTGAAGCCCCACTGTCCAGCGGCGATGGCCCAGAAGCGAGGGCAAAAAGCTTCAGGTGCTGAGGTTCGATCGACCGACCGATTGACATGTGATGTCCCCAAGCAAGGGCAGATAGGGAGCAGACTCGGGCGAAGGAAAGCGGCGCAGACCGCACTCGAATGCTCCCGGGAGGGGGACCGCGAAGGATCGGCTACATTTCACTGGAGGTAAATAGGGCGGGGGGCGTTGAACTAGATCGGTGGGCACAATTCCTCATTTATTGATTGGACGGGCACAGGCACAGGCTCTTGGGAAATGTGATATTTGGTCCTAGGAATATAGCATATTGGCATGAGGGCGTGAAGCTTCGAAAACAAAGGATGGATTTTCGCTTTTATCTGGACACATGCCCTAGTGCCTGGCTTTCCAGCTCGTCATGCTTCTCTGGGGACGTTCTGTTCCAATATCAATGGAATTTCGTCCTGCACCAGCGAAGCTAACGTCAATTTCTCTTTAGCCTCCCATCCCAACTTTCGTAGACGATTAGCCCGACTTCTGGAGTTAGATCCCAACGCGATGGGGGTATGTTCGCCGTAGAGGTCTTGAAAGTTATCTGCTGGAATGCTTCGGGGGGTAGGGTCTTCAATCCGACCCGCTTGGTAGAGAGCTTGCCCAATCTCAGAGACACAATCATTCCAAGAAAGCTCCTGGCCATTCTCACAAAACCAATAAGGATTTGATAGTACATCCTCCACAGGAGCTTGTTCTAACCAATGTAGCAGTGTAATGTATCCCCGGGCCAAGTCCTTAACATGTATCTGGTTCCAGACAGAGCGGCCTTCCGCAATTTGGCCCGCGTATCCGTTTTTCAGAGCGTATCGGACCAGCGTAGGCAGCTGAATAGATAGTCTCTTATCAGGCATGCTAACACCATATATCAAAGGTGGCATCATAATTGCAATTTTTGCCCGATTACCCAGGTTCTGGCGAGTAATAGTCAAGTCCACTTGACGGTGAGGAGCTTCGTCAGGTAGGGCGTTGATAGAGTTTGGTGTTTCGTCGTCAAATATCTTGTCGGTTTTGAAAGCGCCGTTGCTGTCATCGGACAGGATGCCTGCACCGCTTGTGTGGATATAAATAGTGGATTGATTATATTCAGCGCGTTGCTGAATACCGTCAAGGATAGCTCTTACGGACGGCAGATGATCGGCATTAGCAGTATGAATAACAATATCACTGCAAGATACACGTTGCCGGATGAAGGATTCATCGTCTAAAGTTCCCACAACGGTCTTGATGCCTCGTTGGTGGAACGCCGCTGCAGTGGAATTTCGACGAACAAGTGTTGTGACGTCATATTTCTTGCACTCGACAAGAAGATTCAGAACTTCCCCGCCGATGAATCCTGGCCCAAGCAGAAAAACCGATTGCTTAGACATGATATTATATCATTTATTTTTGCAAAAGTTCTGTGTGTAGAAATGGAAGAAAAACGGAAGTTGTCGCATGGAGCGTTCAAGTTTCTGCGGGTAGATAAATACCAAATAGTTTGAATAGCAGTGAGCAGAGCTCTGGTACTTGATTTATCAGCCGTTTGTAAACATTATTAAGTGGCTTTTGATTTTCCAAGCCCCCATATTTATGGTAACTTACGGCTAGGTGTATGTTCGGTGTAGATCTTCGTTCCCATTCCCCGAACGACCCAATCTACGGATTCAGAGAGTGCGTAAGTTCCGAAATGCCGCTTATTAAGACGTAAAGCCCGCGACCGTACGGAGTACGGACTTTCGTTTGCTAAGGGTGCCTTCCCATCTCTTTTTCAGCTGGTACGACAGCTTCGGCATTCATGTAGGCAAGCTCCGGGCCACAGTGGAGACATTCGGATTCTCATCCGACTTCTCAGTCGTACGCGGACATAACTAGTACTTGTCGAAATATACTTAACGAGTCCCAAAGTTTTTGAATTATTTCCCTTGCTCTCCAAATCCCAAAAAAAAACGTTCCGTTCGCCTAACAAGCCAGCACGAACTTACCTCAAATGTAGGGAATGACTGCCATTAGGTGACTACTTCAGCTAGTTTAAGTTAGTAGTTACTGTCAGGCTGAGAATTGGTCGTTATTTTACCACTCGAATTGGCTGATTCAGCGACTACCCACTCCTCCATATGTTTTTGTATGGTAGACCGGGTCAATTTGGAATACCCGCGTTGTAACATACCAATGTTAGACCCTCGGGCTATGTAGGAGACGCTCTCAACAGCGATCTCCCTCCAGGGTAGTTCTTCAATCAACTCATTCGATTGGTTCCCTCGGTACTAGCATGTACGGAAATCCTACAGCCCATTAGTTACCCGTGCACTCACCCCACACCTTCCGGTGCTATGGTGTGGCGGAGGGCACGGGTAACCAATTGAATGAAACAAAATAGCTGAGTCAGCGGGTATGGCAACAATCTTCGATCCCGAGTTCGGGACGGGCCATCGGCTTGCGCCAAGTATCCACCACCATAAAAGCCGACATCTCAACGGATTTCCGTATGGATATTCAGGTACAATCCAACACACGAACAAGATAAAACCTTTAAATACCAGCAAGGATCTAAGTTAAGCCACACATTTCCCTCGACGAGTCAAGTGTCGGCCCTGGCAAATTCAACCATGGAACGAGAACAAGACACCGGAATCTCCATACTTGTTGTCGGGGGTGGCATTGCGGGTTTAACCTTCGCTATTGAGGCTCACCGGAAGGGTCACAATGTCCGGGTTATCGAACGACGACTCCGTGGGGAGACTGCGGGTAAGCACCGTCTTCAACTCCTTCGCATCTTAATACACATCACCAGAAGGTGGACAACGACAACCATGCTGTACATACTAGCTTGTTGAGTGGCGCATTAACGCTTGATGTAGGCGAAATGATTGTCATTACAAGCCCTGCCCTCCAGACCCCAAAGAAATGGCCGGGCTTCATGGAACGGGCAAGGCAAGAGGCAGTTGCCCCGGTGGTCACGATGAAAAAGTTCGACGGGACACTGATCGGATCCTTCCCTATCGGTAACCCAGACGACCCATCTCTGGCCATCTACCGATCAAAGCTGCATAACGTGCTCTACGAGTACGCCGATCAGCTCGGCATCCCGATCGAGTTCTCCTTGATAGCTTCGGAATTCTTCGAAGCAGACGACTATGGTGGTGTGGTCCTGTCTGATGGGCGCCATCTCACGGCTGATGTAGTGGTGGCGGCCGATGGAGTTGGCTCCAAATCATGGAAATTGGTCGTTGGCAGCAAAGAGCCCCCAATCAGCTCAGGATTCGTGCTCTATCGTGTCACATTCCCCGTGGCACCGGCCCTCGAAAACCCAGTCATCGCGGCGGAACTAGAAGGATTCAAAGACCGTGCATTCCTACACGCCGGTTCGGGGGCACACATCGTTACCTGTAAATCTGAGAAAGATATTTGTTGGCTGCTCACTCGCAGGGTATGTATCCTCACGTGCCAAAGCCTGTGCTGTGCGGTTGCATACTAATCTCATGCAGGAGGATGGCAGTAATGCCGAAGAAGACTGGGCGAAGACAACATCGATCGACAAGGCACTCAAGGCTGTCGAGGGCTGGGAGCCGTTCGTGACCGAGCTTATCAAGGCGACACCCAACCACACCGTTCTTGACTGGAAGCTTATGTGGCGTAACCCTCAACCGCGATGGGCTTCACCTGGTGGCCGCGTCGTCCAGATTGGTGACGCCGCACATCCATTTCTGCCGACTTCAGCTAGTGGCGGGACTATGGCCATGGAGGATGCGTATTCTCTGGCAGCTTGCTTGCATATTGCTGGGAAGAAGGATGTGTCTCTGGCAACGAAAGTGCATAACCACTTGAGGTATGTGACCGTCAAAGAGCCATTGTCCCCTGCCCACTTTTGAATAGGCTGGGGAAGAAGAATAGAAGTTACAGGGGCTGATAATACATGATAACAGGTTTGAGCGAGTCTCTTGCGCACAGAAAATGGGATTCAAAAATCGCGAGGTATACCACAACACCGACTGGGATGCCGTCGCCAAGAACCCGGAGATGATGGGTAAAATGGTTGGAGACTGGCTGGTACACCATGACTCAGAGCAGTACGCATATGAGAATTACGGCGCATGTGCGGAGCACCTCCTCAAGAGTACGCCATTTAAGAACACGAACTTTGTACCAGGCTACACGTACAAGCCGTGGACTGTCGAAGAGCTTCTGGGCGCTTCGGAGAGTGGCGAGCCCGTTGAAGATGAAGGAGACTGGTCCTAAATGGAAAGGAAACCTATCGGTGGCCTGAACATGGTACAAAAGATGGAATATTCCAGGGCCGTTATGCTCGGTCCTGCAGTATAGTCGGGTACATGTATAGAAGGGCTTTGTGGACTCCGCAGTGTGTCCCTACTTCCCAGTTACTTTCGAATGTACTCTCTCAGTTCCTTTCGGTTGAACAATGCTTCCTCTAGAAAATGGAGCTTCTTCAAACTGCCGAAGCGGTTAGCGTCTCTCTTGATGTCGGTCAGAGTGCCGCTAGGCCGAATTAGGTAGAGGACTGCCTGCGATATTTCGGTGTCTTCGCTGCGTCTCTATCTAAAGTCCACAATGGCTGTGCTTAATATCAACGACCGTTCTAGAGCATGTCCACTCCCTCTTCGTATACCTAAGGCGAGGACACGGTGGATAACTTTGTCGAAAAGGTCCTTAACGCTTTGCGAGACGACGAAACCCTTCGATGCGAGTTTGGAATCCAGGGAAAGGTCACTTTCTATGATCGCGCCAACCCATCGAAAACCTCACTGGAGAGCAGCCTCGAGCAAATGAATATTCAGGGTGTGCGCACCCCCCAACGAACGGGGAACACAAGGCATGGAAGAGGCAGGAGGGGAAATGAAGCGGCACAGAGACAGAAGAGGGATGGCGCTGCACGAAGACGCAATCGGCGTGCGGACCAATTCTGTGTACACCGTGTGGCTGATGAACAACAGATACCGGTATATGCTGTCTAAGGCGAGATATCGAAGCTGACCAGGAGCCAAGGAAAATGTTGTGCAAGCCTTCCTGTACCATGCCCAGCGACCCATCGGGCCCGATATTGTTCCAGATCACCACGGTCCAGCTTTTACCTTGCATCGGGGCTTCAAATTGTGCCACATATTTGTATTGGTTGGCGACTTCATCAGAGACTTCAAGTGTTACTTCCGTATGGGCTGCCAACATTGCCCATGGTATACATCCATTTCTCTGCAGAGAAAGTTGCACTGAGAAATTCGGGCGTCAAGTGGAATTGACTTGCGTTGATGGACTTGGCTCCAAGGGCGCTTTGAGATAATAATCCAAACTTCCGAATTCGCGTTCCGTCGACACGCTGCCAACAGTATTGATAGACTCGATATGGGGTATCGGCAGCTATGGCTTTACGCAATGCGTCATTATGAGTCGATGCCGCCGCCCACTAGGAACGACGAAGAGCTATTGACCAAATCAAACCGTGGAGAGCTTGATGAGCGTGTGCTTTTTGAAATGGCCGAACTAGCTCGGCGACTTGGCTTCTAGTCCAAGGAGATCAAAGAACTCCTTCAGAGGTCACCTGACCGCTTGATTGCGCGTAATGCTTTGCTTCGAGCCCGAAAGCCGGATCATTTCCACTACGCCCCTGAACAATTCGAGACTCTTGTTGATCGTGTCGCCGACTGTTTCTCAGCCGCCGTTGAACACAGACGGACAACTTCCGAGTTCCTGGCAGACAATAAGGTGTCTACTAGAGCGAGAAGTGGTTTCCCACAGAACAAGGCCCACGCACAAGATGCTCCACACCTTTTCCTCGATCGTGTACATGCCGACACGCCATTTCCTCCGCTTACCACCTTCTTCGTTCGGTGCCGTATTTATTTCGCCTACTTTGGAAAGCGTCCGTCTCCGAAATCAACATCTGGAAGCTTGCCACATGGTGTGTCTCCGCGAGATACATCGCCTCTCTTCGTTAGTGAAAGCGACTCTCCAGGTCCAGCTGCCGAGGTGCGATCAGAACAGGCCAACCCCTCGCAATCGGTCCATGAGGACTATCAAACTCAACAACTCTCGGAGGGTAGTGGAGGAACCTCAGCCGAGGACAGCGAGGAATTAGGTCATCAACCAGCTTTTAGTGATCCGCATCGAAGCCTTGAGGATGAGGACATGGGTTATGAAACTACCGTCGCAGCCGAAGACTATCTTCAAAATGATTCCCCAGAGTTATTGGGAGGTCAAGAGGCTGATATCGTTTCCTTGAGGCCATTACTCGATCCTCTGGATTTAAGGTCCCCGGTCGCCACCCAATATGAGAGTAACGATGAGCTTACTACCCATTCGCAAAGCCCGAAGCAACTATCGACCCCTGAAGAGAATGCTTCGGAATACGAAGACCCAGAGCAGGAAGACCAAAATCCTATCAAAGACTACTCTTCTTCTGTGTACTCTGTGAGAAGGAGAAGTAGCATTAGAGAAGACAGAGACATCGAGACACCATGCAGGTTCGAAGAAGATTTAATTCGGGCACTTCAGGAACGGGAGAGACTTGATGAGGACTGGGAACGAGAACGGCTTGAGCAAGAATATGGAGCCCTACCCTCGGATACTGGAAGGGATGAATCGGTACATTCACGAGACCGGACGGAGCGTGAGGCTGCTCTAGAGGCCGTGGAAGAGGAAGTGGAGACTTTTGAACATCCCGACGGGGAGCAACGGGACAGCTCTCCATCCGACGACGGTCTCTACAAGGCAACGCGCCTTGCGGAGGTGGTTGATTTCAAGTTCTTTTCTTTTGAGCGTGGACAATTCCGAGTGGTCGATCATATCCGGGTCGAACCCTCAGACACGTCTGTTGTAGAACGTTCTGCTAAGAAATACATGCTGGAGCTCTAAGGGTCAAGGGGAAACGGGCAATATCCAAGAACAAAGAAACGAACCAGGGAGTCAAACCGGATGACACAGAGGTAAGACGGTTATATCACCTAGTCAGCCATATGTGACATTGAACGGTTCTAACGGATGAAACGTAGTTTTAGTTAGCAGCTTAAGGTAATCAATATGTCAACATTGTCCCCTTTGCTTCCTGAACCGATCACCAACATGCCATCTTTCAAGTGCCGTTTCAAGCGCCCCGCAGAGTTCCCTTGCGCTTAGTGGTAATGGCCAGTCCGCAGATGAAGGTAGCAGGGCTCAATTTCTTAATAGTCAACCCACAAAAACCCGGGATGTGTTGACACCGTAACGGTGTCCAATGGGTTTGCTCTGACTATAGTGATATGGCTCACCAGGGACTCGTGGCATAACAACACAAAAAGAGGCATTCCACGCTTCAGAATGCGCGTTACGATATTTCCAAGACCACTTGGAAGACCTCTCCGCCTATGAGCTCAATCTTTTGTACCAAATTTGGCTGCGACTCCAAGTGCAAACTCAGATATCCCACAGAAATGATGCACCTACGGTCGATGGCTTTGAGAGCCACGTTGTGGGCTGACAGAATCTGGTTAGCCGCCTCCTATGCGCAGGGTTATTCCCCATCTAACCTCCACCTTTCCCCGCACAAGCACAGCTCGCGAAATTCCTTTTGGAGAACCATTTGCGAGCCTTGTTATTATATCATTTATTGCAAATAAATTGAACGATACTACGTGCGAATTCAGTTTGCCAGAACAAGCCAGATCAAATAGGAGCAGAGAGATCCTCGCATAACCCGGCAGAGCCAGGTACAGGAACCTTTGGTCCTGGAGTCAGCGCTGTCGGCGTCTTAAGTAGTTACATTGGCAATCTCATTCCACAACAGAACAAGTGAATAAATTCATCATACTCGCCACTTTCACCTAGAATATTCAGAACGAAAGCCATGGAATGAGCAGCCATCTGTGGAATCAATGAGCCAATCATGTTGTAGGCCCGGTGACACGATTGACACGATCAAATCCTCCAGCGAAATTATGATCTACAATTTTCTCTCCAGGAATTTTATCTTGCAGAATCAGCACGCCGTATCTTACGCGTATCGGGATTTTGACGACTGCTCAATCTTGGAACATCTTTTTCGATTAAAAGAACCTACCAGTCTCAGATATACCCTGTTGGTCAAACATTATGACGTGTAAAAAGATAAACGTGTTCACGAACTATTCGATATAAGATAGGCGAAGCACTGTGATCTTAATCTTTATATCTCCCACGAGTAGACGCTTAGCTATTCCTTAGGGAAGTCTCGCTAATTATGTCTGTTCCCATACAGTCGGTTAAACTGCCGCCTATTCAACCAGATACGAACGTTTCGAGTTTGCCTTCCATTCGCGATATACTACCAGACCCCTTCACATCCTCCCAAAACGGCGAAAATCGCAACTCCACCTTCACGTTCGATGACGATGCGTATAGTACAGACATTAGTACATTTGGTGGTGATCCCACACCCAAGCCAGCATCTGATCTGCAAAAGTATCCAAGTACATCACACAACCAGCCTACCATAAACGGCGGCGGCGGCTTTGGGGGCTCAAAACAGAGCAAGGATACAACACGAAGAAGAGACGCCAATCTCGATCCAAAGCTAACTAGGACAGTCGCGCGGGTTCACAAATGCGTGCATCCAGGGTGTAAATCCTCATTTTCGAGCCAATATTTGCTTACGTGAGTAGAGGAGGACAATTTTGTTACTAGACCATGCTAACCCCGATGTACGAAAAGGTCCCATATGAATGTACACTCTCAGAATCGGCCACACCGCTGCTCTCAGGAAGGGTGTGTATGGTTTTCAAAGGGGTTTAAGCGAAGGAACGAACTGGAACGGCATGCACTCGTACATAGCACGCCCCGGTACGAATGTCCTTTCTGCCAGGGGTGATTTATTCGACCAGACAATCTTCAACGGTAAGTTGACCCTCTATACCTATCAAGAGCTATCTTCATGTACTAATTAGACTCTTGCAAGACATGTTCGAAAGAGACACAGCGATAAAAGTCTTGAGGACCCCGTTCTCCAAAGAATTCTCGGTCAACACCTACCTGAAAGGCCAAGAAAACGACAAAGGCGGCTGAAATAGTTATTCCTTAGGCGGAACCCTTGTAGGATTTTTGTGTGATAGTAAAAGGAGAGACATGCAGTTCCTGTGATCGTGAATAGGATAGTTTTCAACAGAGACTCATCTGACTACATACGTTGAGGCTCAAAACATAACCGGCCATCCTAAGCTAGAGGACATTCATTTAATAAAACTCCAGGCTCTTGCTGGTGTAGTCCCCCTGCCTCTATTCTCTCGGAAAAAAAACTTCCTGACTTCTACAAGCTTAACAAGACTGCCTCTTGGTTTAAGCCAATTTATTACAATTCTACATTCGTACAGGTATACAACACCCGTACTCTTACGGACCTCAAGGTAACAAGGAGGCAGCAGGTACTTGAGGAGCAACCGTGAGCCAATCATCTCACGGACGCTAAGGATTATCGTTGTCACGGGCGTTTCGGTATACTCAGGGCCTCAGGCATACCCCAGAGGCTCTCAGGAAAACATTTCGGAAACGGAGCTAGAATCGGCCAACGGCGAACCATCATAAATAATACACTAAAAGTTTAAATAACCGCCCCATGAGATATTCTCCGCTATGCCGAGGCAATAAAAATTACCGACACTCCTGGGAGTGTGACTTTAATGTCTACGTTTTGTATTGCTATAGTTCGTGTGGCGATCTTGATAGTAACTTCTAACTGCCCCAAGCAAAGCTGAAGTAGCCCAGACCGTATCCTGGGCCAGATAAGGAAGAGGTTTTCTGATACGATGGGACTCTCAAATGCCATGAATAGGCAGACCTTTTATCATCCACTCATATCGTTCGCCCTAGATCCACTGACTCTATTTCCCTTTATGAGTCAAGAATCCTTCAACCTGGGTGAGAAGCCTGCCTCCTCAAGTACTCCTATAAATACCCCTTTGAGCCTTCGTGACTGCACTTCAGCAACATTATCTCTTCCAAGTCTCTTCATTATCCGCAAGCACGTCTCCTACCTGAGCTCTACGAACCACAAAGCAGCTATCCGTGAGACATCTACCCGCAGAACACCACCAGTGCCTCAATTGTTGCAAAAATGATCTTCCAGGGATTGAAAATATACCAAGCGGATCCTGTCCCCGGAGAAATGCCCTGCTGGTCCATAATCGAATGCACCGAAATGTTGTTGACTCAACATGAGCTGTACAAAATGGTCGACGAAAGGGCGGATCAGATATCTGCGGCTATGCAGTACCAGTGCTTAGCAGCTAGCCTAAAATTCCTCGTCAACTATCTAGTTGACGAAAGAAATCAAGAGGACAAACGTGTGCGGTGGAGTTGTGCATATGTTAGACACAATTGCTCTTTTGAAGGTGCTTGCCACGGTCAACAGAGAGAGCATTTGGTCGTGATTTTGATGAGACGGCCTCGGAATTGTGGACCTTGGGAAAGGACTCCCATGGGAGACTTGATTGATTTCGGAAGCCGGCTGCCTTCTACCGGACAGGAGGGCGGGTCTGAATCATCTTCCCCTGACCTTGAGATGGACGAAAAGGATGGAGAAGAGGCTTGGCCGTCAGAGGCCTGATACAACGCAACAAGCCCATCAAATAAGCGTAATCTTTGTGAAATTTGTGTCTGGAAACAACGCCGTGCGAGAATTGTGCCTGGGACCGACAAAATCATGATATGACAGCATGATAGAAGAGAGGGATACTTAGTGAATGTATGGTGGAGAGTAGAGAGTATTTTGTGCGCATTCAGTGCTTGTGAAAAGTTGGGATTTTGTGGTGAAAATGCAAATGTTTATTTTTACTGTAACACGTGCTATATTGTATTAGTAGAGAGATACATTTTGGGAGCTAGTAATATCAAAACTCTTCTGGTCCAGGAGTCTCAATAGTCATGCCTGCATTCGAGGTGCTTTGCTTCAAAGTCAATCCAACCAGTTTATTTCGTCATGATCTTTTTCAAATTTATGCCTTCATAGTAAGCAGCTAACAGCATACATGGGCAAAAGACAGATGTGACTTTCATTCAAACAGATTAAACAGCGGTCTACGGCAAAACCACAATATGGAATAATATCATATCTAAACTTGTTTGCCTTGCTTGTATCACGAAATATTTTCAGACCGCAGGGCAAGCACATGATAATAGGGGCTGTGGAGTGACAGAACCGTCGGTATGAAAAGGCGGAGATGTGGCAGTCAACGAAGCTGAGGACGAAGTCGTGGGTGTCAACAAGTCCGTGGCATTACACCAACTTCCGACCTTATATCCATCGTTCAAAACACACGTCGACTTATCTCCATTCTGGTTGAAGAAAGTCACCTGGCCGTCACGTTCCACCTCAATCCACGCAGCCGGCGAGCCGTTCTCGGTGCCACAGGCCACCTCGATCCGAGTGTCCTCAGGGGATCTATTGGGCATTTCGCTCAAGCCTAGAGGCCTTAGTCTTATGATTCTTGTGCCAAGGGTGAATGCACTTACTTGAGCAGTCGTCTCCCTTGGGTTTGGCAAAAGATGCAGAGTACCCGTCACAGCCGTGGTTATGATTCGACCAGATTCGGCATTCATCATCACTGGCAGTAACATTGAGAGTACCACCAAGTGATATATCGGCCCAGATACCCGTTAAAACAATTGGCATCAAAAGCAACATGTTTGTGACTAATTTGACCAATCTCGTTCCCTGAGTTCTAAATGAACTGTGGTCTAATAATCGGAGAGAATTTCTCAGAGTGGACTAGATGCTTATATATCAAAAGGCCCCTCCAAGCATGCCTATTGTCATTGGCTTTTCCCGTAGAGTATCGTGTTTTGTTTACGGTGTTGTAATCTGGTCGCATCGGATTTTGACGTTTTTAAGGGCTCCTACAACAAGCGTA